GGCTCATGGGTGTTGATAATTGATGAGAGTAAAAGCCTAGAAGGCTAGATCTTGGCAATGAAATGAAGTTTTTGTTTTGCTTTTTGAATAGATGATTATATACTCATTTCAATCTTCAGGTCTGTTCATTCAGATCATTTAGTCTTGCAGCACTGACATAAATTCAAGAAGGATAGCTGGAATTCCCCTGCAAAAATTCATCATGTATAATAATTTTTAACATGAAACTACATTCCCTTGACTCATGTGGTTAACTGCCTATCAGTGTCATAACAAAACAGAGCAAATTAAGGCAATAGTTCCAATAGAAGAGAAGGTCATAGTTCTAATGTTCTTCCCTGTTTTGATGTAAAGAACTATGTATGTTTATGAGTTAAACAAAACTACAATCAAAAAACCAAATTTTCTAATAGCAATGTGTGATTTAGAAAAATATTGATGTGAGCAGAGAGAGAGGAAAATAAAGAAGATCAAGGGCATTTAATATCATGGCATAATATCAGAATTAAACTGCTCTTGTGCCATGATCATAACGGGGCAGCTTAGCAGTGTGGGTATGCCCTAAGTCAAGTACACATGAATCTATCAGTCAAGTCTATAGTTACAAATACATTGGGACACAGAATATCTGCTAAAAAATAAAATACAAAACAAAACAATTACAACAGAAAGCAAGGAGAAGCAGACAAAGAGATCAAAATTACCTACCTCACAAAATTAGTATGTGAATTTTAAGGCCTCAGTATGTTTCCTTGGCCTTCTTTGGTTCTCAAATTCTTTAAGCAATAGATGCTTTGCTGCAGAATCCATCTGAGTCCTAATACAAATGTACTGTTGGCTTTTCTGCCAAAATCAATTTTGTTATCTCTCACAACAGCTCCACTTATTGATAAGATATTTTCTACAAAGACAAATATAAAGCTGAGTCTTCCCAAAGTCTTTAAAAAACACCTGTCTGGACCCAGGTTTGGTAGCAACTGTCCCAAGGGATGGGATATTCAGCTTCAGCATAGCTATAGGATTCTGTTAGACAGAACTGATAAAGCCTCCTCTCAGGACTGCAAACCTTGAGCATATCTTAACGCAAGACAGGCATTGGCCAATGTTTTGAGAACTGTTGCTTGTCTCCAACTCAGCCAGTAAGTGCTGCTATTGGGCCCAGACTCCCCCCTAAGCCCTTGATTCTGTTCCTGTCTATATCTCTTCCAAATTGTAACTCTTAATATTTGAGGGAGACATTGTAACATGTATAAATCATTCTGTGCTATGGTAATTTTTTCCTCAGCAATCAAGTGCTAGGCAGCGTGCCTTAAGGAGGATACTGAGAAATTGGAAAAGGTTCAGAAAAGAAAAGACTAGAGGAACATAATAGCACTCTTTGAATATTTATTTATTTAATTTATTTATTTATTGAATTTATCTCTGCCCATCTCCCCTGATGGGTGACTCTGGGAGACTCACATAACCCATAAAACTAGATAGATAGATAGATAGATAGATAGATAGATAGATAGATAGATAGATAGATAGATAGATAGATAGACAGACAGACAGACAGACAGACAGACAGACTGACTTACCTAAAACATAAAAACTGTGCAAAATGTTACTAAAAGAAAAGAAAAAGTCCAAGAGGCTGATGGTTTTCAGAGCTGCAGATGACAGGCCTCTAAGGGCTAGCCATCCCTACGCTTGGTGTCTTCCCTCCCAACCCCAGGCCATGTGGCAGAGCCAAGTCTTCAGCTCTCTCTGGAAGACCAGGAGTGAAGGGGCCAATCTCACCTCCGGGGGCAAGATATTCCAAAGGGCGGGGGCAAGATATTCCAAAGGGCTATAGCAGAGAAGCCCCTCATCATAGGAGATGTGGAAAAAAGAGCAAAATATGACTTCTTTACTAAATGAAAAAAAGGCTTAGATATAATTGTAAATTACAGGAATAGTAAGTCATCTTCTTCATCTGTTAAAACAATTCTGGTTGTAGTTTTCATATATAGATCAGAACATTGGCTAATCTCCAAAACTTCATTGCATTCTATGATTTTATACTTCCAAACATCCTGTGACTTTGTGACAGTTCAATTGCTAGGGTGGTTCACTAATGATAGTTCATTTTAGGTCAAATAAGCTCATTTACTTTTGTGAAACTATTATAAAATACCCCTGGTGTCACCTGCAGTGAAGCAATTAAAGCTTGCAGAATGCTGCTATGCTTCTCCAATCACTGGAACACACTTCATATTTTCAAATCAATCCCAAAATAATAGCTATGACCTATTCCATAATTTCTTATACAGAGTTCCTGTAAACATGAATTTGGAACACTGTATGAGTTGAACATCTTAGAGATGAAAGGTTTGGGATTTGTGTACTCAGGCACAGATTAGAACAGTCATTTTGTTTCAGATCACTTTTTAGGCAAAAGTCTAACTCATCACCTAAGTTAATGCATGAAATACTGGTGCCTCTTTTCATCTATTCTCCATCAGTAACATGTTTTACTCTGTTCTGCTTGATCTATGGGGCTATTCCATCGTTGACCCTTTCTTTTGAAAAAAGAAAAAAAAATCCATTCACCTTTTATCAGTCTCTCACTGTGCAATAAGTCTGACATGAAATTCTCTCAAACATTTTAAGTCCTCTAGCTCTGATTCATATTATATAATCTTCCTTTGAAGCACTTAAATCTTTTACAATTTCTTTAAATATCTGCACTTTAAAATAGTTGTTTGTTGAAACATTTTCAAGAATCTTACTGAAAAGGAGATTCCTCCCCTTTCCTCTTTCTAAATATATACAGAGCAATACAATACACCCACATCCATATTTCTCCTCTCCTCACCTGCTCACACTCTCAATCACATCAAAAATCAGTTTTATGTACACACTGTGACACAAAGTTGTACACACTGATTTGGTTATTCCAAAAGTATATAAAATAAATGAAGAAAGATTCACCAAATATTCTGCCTAGTGGCCTTTGGTGAATACATGGAATGCCTAGAGCCTGCTGTGGGTGTTGTGACCCTTAAGAGTGAAAGGCTTTTCAGTTCACAAAATGATGATCATAGCAGTGAGCTAACTGCAAATTGAAAATGGTGTCAGAGGGAAGGAGCCAAGAAGATTCCAAATGAAACATCTACAGGGCAGTTTCTAACTGCTGACTCTATAAGGAGTTTTATAAACTTCAGAATTCTTCTCTATCTCAGATTTGGAGAATGTGAATGTCCTGTATCCTAGCTGTCTACCCTGTCTTCCTAGCTTTCTGTTCCTTCAAAGTAGTAGCCCTGGTAAGAACCAAAATGGAAGGTTTTAAGGAAAAAGAGAGAGGAAGACAATGGAGTCAGCAGAATGACAAGTTGGGTGATAGGCTACTAAACTTGCTACAACTTTTTTCTTCTGTGGACCACTTCAATCAACCTTCTGAGAGCTATCCATTTCTTGCAAGAACCATTACTCTTTTTTACTAGCTCCCCTGCCCCCCCCCAAGTCTAAGTTATGTACTCAATGTACTCATGTAAATAAATACTTCATTGTTAAATTTGATCTGTTCCTTAAAATGGGGGGGGGGGAGAGATTGAACTGGAAAAAATGCATCTGGTACAGAAGTAACTGAAAATGAGTTTTATTCTTTTCCAGTGAACTAATCTTCTACCCTGATCTGTATCAATCTGTATCAGTATGATTAAACAATTTTAGCAGTATTCAATATATAGTTTTTACACATTGAGTATACTGACATTACTCCTGCTTCTTTAAACCTTAAAATACAAGGTTTACATTTTCTTCCATACAAAAAGATTGTCCTTCTTAGACTGGGTCATTAAGATCAGTCATTATCATGAATTAGCCAAGTTCCATAACCTGGGCTGATAAGTTATGGGAATCCAATTCTACCTTTTTAGCATATCTTACATTTGCTGTTCACTCACTCTCTTTGATCATTCTACTCTCCTGTCCCATTGTGCCTGTCCTATCTATAAAAGGCACCAAACCACTGTTATATTCCAAATATACTTGAGGGAATAGAGGAAAACAAGCAGAAGCCCTTGCTAATTTGGGAGTGTGCCCAACATTTTTACGAGGCCCAAAATGTGACCAGCCATTGATCTGACATTCCATTCTGGATCAGACAGTGTGTTCTGGCCAAAGAGCAAATGAATATCCAGGAAGAGAATGGTAGATTTATAGCTCCCCTTTGCACTTACATGTTTGGCTTCAGAAGCTTGCTGCCCTCTGAAAATTGGCAGAACATGACAATAATCTGCCCTGACTGTAACAGGACAGCAGGATAGGTTTAGCATCACAAGGACAGGGAAGACACTAAAGGAAATAGTAAATGTTGCCGTTTGGTGCTGTCAAAAGTCTAAGAAATTCAGTGAAAAATAAATGGTCCATCTATACCTCCTGATCTATTATTGCAGGTTTGGAAATAGCCATCCATTCACTCACCTGTGACACTGAGGCAATGAGATGGGAAAACTCTGCCAAATGAGAAAAGAGCTATTTTTTGTAAATGGGCAACACATTTTTCTAGGCTACTAATTTTTTCAACACTGTTGTCTTTTGCATTTGTTTGTACTCTTGTGCCTTTCCATCCTGAGGGAATGCATTAATCCCTAATGCAAAACTGAGACCTGAGCCTCTGATATCATAACGACAATCTTCATTTTTGCAATACATTTCTCAAAAGTCATTGTTCCAAGCAATTTCAGGGGGCATAAAGAGCTGCAATTCTAGATGAAAGTAGGAAACACTGAAAACTCACGTTTATTTGCTATATTGAGGCAAGACTGCTCCTAGCAAATAATTATGGATGAATCTCTGGACATTATGAAAAATAGAGCTGAGATATCTATTATGGTGAAAAATCTTCAATGACTTTATAGATTTATATCTATAGATTCAGATTTACATCCTACCATTTTTCCAACAGCTCAATGCAATGTACATAGTAGCCCTTCCATTTAAGATAGATAGATAGATAGATAGATAGATAGATAGATAGATAGATAGATAGATAGATAGATAGATGAAACAATCTTGAAGGGTAGGTTGAGCTGAGATACAGTCAGTTATCTGTGGAATTTCCATGGCTAAGGATGGACTTGAACTTGAATTTCCGTAGTCCCACTTCAACACCTTAATCACTATAAAACACAGCTCACCCACTGAAAAATTACACCAGTCAATTATGTATTTTATTTTGCCCAGATGATCCAATCATTCTCAGCTCTTTAGAGCAAACCCAATTTTTCCTAGGAATGCTCACTCTGGAACTTGTGGCATTTTACTAAATTATAGTGACCTTCCTATTTTACAAAGTCTTCTAGATCAGTGTTTTGATTTTGTAGGAAACTGCTTTTATTGTTTCACTGTTGTTGTTTTTTTTGGGTGGGGTCCTCTTTGACTCTGCTGATTATTAAAGTATGAAGATTTAATATGCCCATAGCATTGTTGTAACAGGCACATGGCATTTTGAAATGACTAATCCTCTATGTTGGGATTCTATCCCTTTCTTGAATGCATGGCTTTGACCTAAAAAAAATCTAAGAAGTGAAGTGACAAACAAACTCATCCTTTCTGCTTAGCAAGAGCATCAAAGGAAAAAGACTTAGATGGTTTAAAAGAGATCAAACCAATGAGATGTTTCACCTGTTTCCTCTGCACAGCATGTTTCTGTGCTTAAGCAGAGAAGTTCTTTTGCCATGAATCCTTAACTGTAGCATCTAATCTACTTTCTGTTTTCCTTGCCAGGTTAACAGCTGCCACCATGGGGCCAATCTTTTCACATATTTATCAGGTGGCTGAGATATTAAAATTGCAGTTTGAAGTGTTGGAAGATATCCAGCAGATAATTATTTGTAGTCTACATTCAGCATACACACACAAACACAAAAGGGATAATCGCAGTGGATTCTCCAGAGCAAGGCAGAATGTCACTTAGCAATGAAAAGGGCTTAGCAGTTAAACACCGAAGGACTTTTACCTTTCTCATCATTCAAGTTAAATGGTTGCATTATATATATATATACACACATACAAATACATTATTTTAATCTCTTTTTTGTTTCTAATAAAAGCTAAGTTGCCAATACTTATGGATTATGTCTGAACTCTTCATGAGGATACAGTTTGCTACCATAGTGTATATTTACATGAGATGCTAAAATAAATCTGACCCTAAGTATGGGTAAGGCACTTATCCATCAGTTCATTGCCTTGTAAAACATCAAATTGTGGCCCTCATAATTAGTTGTTTATTATCCAACTTTGTCATGGCTGGCTGACAACTCTTTCTTAAAAATAAAACAAAACAAAGTAAAATAAAAGTAGTTGGCCATTTGTCCCTCTTACAACACCCATGCCTGAAGTATATATGAGGAGAAAAACAAGAGAAGAATAGAGACTGCAATGGAATGGACTGATTAGACAGCGACCCTAGCCATCCACCTCTATCTCCAGAGGCCAGAAGAAGTTTGTAACTTTTCCTCCCTATTCAAAGCAAATCAATTTTAACCAGTGGTCTAAATTTCAAATGCTTGTTAATTCTAATTACTACATGGTTTAGCTTATCATAGGGATATGATCATTCACTGGTTTAATTTCTTTAGTTTGTTTTCACTGTTTGAGAAACTTCTAGTTGCCATTTCTCCTGGTAACCTGCAGTGAATGAAAGTCTTTTGAGTGTACTTGACATGTGCAAAGAGAGGAAGAAGGTTGCTGAGTGCATGGACAAAGGCTTATTTGTATATTAGTTTTAATAAATCCTGAACTGATCGATTCTGGTCTAAGTTTGTCTGCCTTTATAACTTAAAGGTTTCAATCAATAAAACCTGAAATCCAATTATGAAACTTTGAAGGAGACAAAAAAGTAGATATCTCATTTGCCTATTCCATTTCCAATTACATACATATACATACAACTTGTGACCAATCATACACAGAGTTTCTGAATGTCTCCTTTGGAGTTTTTCTGAGTTTTAAAAGTGGTAAAAATAAACTTTATAAAAAGTATATTTCTATAGATTGTAGAAATATAAGATTATAGCATAATCGAGCAATGCATCCAAGCAACAAGAATGTTTACAATAAGAAAAACTCATATTTTGCTTTTTGCTTAGTGGGACATGCCATGAAAGCTTAACTATGTTTAATTTCATTTAAAGAACAGCATTCATCAAAATTCATTAGATACTGCTAAGCATTTAGCTGAAGTCTTGCAAGTGGTCCCAAAACAGCTTTCAGTTTCCATTTCATATTTTCTTCTTTTTATGCATCTTTTAAAGCATTTTATGTAGAAAAAGAACATAGTTTTGTATAACTCCCCAAGAGACATTTTAATGCATTTCCTGTCGCAAGGAGGTTGGTGAGAGCGCATCTGGAAAATGAAATTGTCTTAGAGGAGCTGATGGGTGACAAATGTTTCATCCAAGCTACTTCATAATATAAAGTGGCAGAGAAAATCAAAGCTCTTTATGCTACCTTGGATCAAATACTTCAAACAGCTGGAAGCATTATACTCCCAAAATGTGCTAAAATAATTTAAATCATTTTAAGAAAATCTCAAATGAATTTATTTCTTAGTCATATCTTTAGGTGAAAATTAAATGCAATATAGCAACAACAAGTATTTTTGCAAGTTAATCCCCTTGTTCCTTTTCTTGATGTGGAAGAAATCAACTGATTTCTGTTTTTTGCTGTTACTTTGTGTTATAACTTTTCTTGAGGTCCCTTTGCTAAAACCTGAAAAAGGGGCTCCCTAAAATTGTATTTATCATTTTGATTTTATTAATAATTATTAATACTTTATTATATTTATTATCATTAATTCTGAAGCCATTTTCAGTTTCCAAAACATTGTTAGTTTCTGAGTGATCTTTGCTAGCCAGTCATAACTCCTTTATGACTACTGCATGAAATGTGTTTTGCTTGGAACCCAAAAGAAGAATGTTGTATTTTAAATGTTCTTCCAAATTGTTTCAAGAGGGCTGCAGTTCAGCAGGACCACATCCCAGAACATTGCAGTTGTTTCAGGTTTAGGCCAAATCAAAATCCAGAGGGTCTTGTGGGCAAGCAGGGCAAAATGAGTACATCTCATCCATCTCCTTTGTATTTCTCTGTGTGGTCTGTGTACCAGCCTACTTGTCAATGTTTCCAGGTTCTTCCTTTCCCTATTTCAGCTGCCACCTCCAAGATATTTAGCTTCAAGCACAGCATATTCAACTGGCTTCCCCACCTCCAATATTCTTCCCTTAGCTAGCCACAACCTTGGCTTCAAGGTGGCACAGTCAGCAACTTGTTCACCTATCTTCTGATCTTCTTAGCACCTTCCTTTCTCTACCAACCCTTAGCCACAGCTGACATCCTTGATTTCAAGCACACCACATCCAACCAGCCCAGCAACCGTTTCTCTTGTTCTTCCCAGTGTCCTCCTTTCCTTACCTCCTCTTAGTCTCACCACTAATGTCCTTGCCTTGATGCTGATTCTCCCCACACAAAACACTTCTGCTTGGAACATACTTTTCAGACCATGTCTGACAAAACACATGTTCTTTGGTTCAGAAATAGAACACTAGCCGTTCCACGGATAGAATAGTTTGTACACAGAATATTTTTCACATCTGTACTACAAAGCTACTTTTCCTATGCAGCTAAGCATCATATAACATAGCAAAGAACAAGTCCAAAATCTCAAAGTGAGAGTGAAATACTTTTGGTTCATATTTTAATAATTTGTATTTTCCAAATTAATACAAAATGCAATAACCTCCATTTTTTCACTTCATTGAATGTTGTAATGCAGACCTGAAAACAAAGCCCTTACAAAGGAAATAATTAAATATCCTTCATTAAGAGGAATTACAAATTTCTACCAATCAGAATTGAAAACTGACACTACTTTTATTCAAGTAGAATAGAGACTAAGTACAGTCAATGCATTCTATAAAGTCACCACGAACACTGAGTTAGCACATACTGAATCCTCAGCTGGGAACGTGTGCATCAGGCGACTCAAAGTTTCACCGCTCTAATGTCCGCAAATGACTACAAAAGTGCCACAAGTATTGATTTTGCAGTTACAAATAAATGTTAATGAGTAGGTGAATTGGCAAATACGGAATCCACAAATAACGGGAATCAACTGTATCAAAGTATTTTGCATAAAAAGGTAAAGTCTCTTTCAAGTCAAGCTTGAATCATGAGAATGTTCCTGTAGCTGTCTTGGTAATAACATGGAAGTGATTTGTCAGTATTTCCACTCTAGCCTAAAGTCCTGGTCCACCCTGCATAGCCCTTTTATGTTCAGCCAGCATAACTGGTTTTATAAATACATAGCATATAATAAAGTTATGAAAAAGAATTAAAAGTTCCCAACAGGGTCTTTGTCAAGATTATGGTGGAGCAAAGGAAGTATCCAGGTACTCTGCAGTTACCTACAAATTAGTAAACAGAGTTATTGGGAATAGTTTAAGTATTCAGGGCAATTTATTGTATCAATTACAGTTTTATAAGGGCAGAATGTTTAAATATTCAAAACTTGTTCTTTCTGCAGCAATATGTCATTTTCATTATATAATAAAACAACAGGTAATATAATATTGGGAATATGCTGGGCATCTAATAACTCCTTTTCTTTTCCCTACAAAACCAAACACTGACACATGTAATGTGAATTTAGGTTCCTAACAAAATTGTAGCAATTATTCAAAATCTTTCTGGGAAAAAAAATTATAATAATAACCTTACCTCATTTTGGAGATCTCTGATCATTTTGCTTTTTCTCTCCATTTCAGTCTTCAAAAAATTAATCTGGAAATGTAAGTTGAAGAATTTGCTGTAAATCCTGTTCTACATAGGATAATAAAGAAATATAATAGTATCTATCTATGGTTACTTTACTCCAGCTGTCAGCTCTTTCTTTCATTGCTCATTTCACCTAGCCAGCTCCAGTCTTTTAGTCATTTCAGTCTGTTTTAAATCTGACACTAATATTTAAATATTTCTGCAAAGCCTTTCTGGATTTTCAGAGCCACCAATTCATTGATAGCAAGACCATCCATTCCTTGTATATTTCTTAGTCTCTTGTCTCCTCTTAGTCCTAGGTCTTCTCTTTACTCCAGGACTATTCACCCAGAGTAGAAAGTTATTGTGATAGATATGAGAGAATACTTTGTTAAACATCTCACTATACTGTATGTCATCATTTCACCTGTCCAGATTAAAATAGGAATGTTTCTCCCTCTGCCCCCCCAAAATAAAGTGGAAAAAAAGAAAAGAAAAATATTGAATCAGCCCCCACCCCTACAAGCCCATGTCCAAAGCTGATGTAGAATATAGTTCTCAGCTAGTAATAAAATAGTCTTCCAAATAATTTTTTTATTAGTATTGTATTAATGTATAGATAAATGAAATGAATAGAATGCATAGCATAAGTAAATATGAAAGTTTACCTCTAGGACTTCATAAGTTCTGTGTCTAATCAACTATTCATAGTAGAAGGTTTTCTAGGAATTGTGATTTTTTATGTGATTCTGGTAAAGATTCCTCCTGTGCAGCAGTGAAAGCTGAAAGATTCAGTCTTTAAAAATACCCTTGAATTGTTTGTACAGGATCTATAGCAGCAGTTTATAATTGAATAGATTTCTCTCATGCACATTTATCTCACTAGAAATATATTATTGGACTGTCAACCAGCTTAATTCCAGGAATAACATTCCTGTTTATAGCCTGCTTAAGTTTATAACCAAAAAATAAAATCTCTTGACGTTCTCACCTGACTTCCAATAATTCTGAACAGTTTGATGAAGTATGGGTGAAGTAAATTAATTTCACACATTTTTCACAAATGACTTCAAAAGCTCTGAAGCAGGATTTAAACAGTATTTACTGAATTTCTTCTGCTAATTTGCTCTCCCACTACCTTCATTATTCTTTTTTTTTCTTTTTCCTTTTCTTAGAAGAATCACAGACAATGATTTTATCTTAATGCAGCCCTCAAGATAATTTATGATGGGCCACTTTCTTTACAGATGGGTCACTACCTTTATCTGTAAGAGAGACCCCTTCTCCACAGCAATCCTGATAAAGTTTCGTGGAAAGGTCAAAGCTTTAATAGGGCTTCAGATCTGGGCTGCAAAGAGATAACAGCAGACTAACTCTGTAATGCTATCTAGTAAATGTCCAGAGTGTTGCAACCCAGATCAAGGAACCTAGGCTTTTATCTTGTACCAGCCAGAGATTCCCTGGTATTAGCACATTTGGAGGCATGCACTTGTGTCTCTGAATAATAAGAGTCTGTGTGAATTAGCTTATGTTGTATGATGGGCCAGCCATCCACCCCTACCAACTTGTGCAGCCCCAGAAGAGTTCCACAGGGACTTGTGGCATGATAGGAAAGATTTTATTCAAAGGTGTTATGTTGGATATGCAGTGATAAAACAAAACAACATTCAGATTCCAGTTGTTATATTCAAATATTAAAAATGAGAAATATTCAATATGGAACAGTTCATCATAACTCTGCCCACCTACTGTTGGGGCTCCAATAACAACATCCTCCTCCTCCTCCTCCTCCTCCTCCTCCTCCTCCTCCTCCTCCTCCTCCTTCCAGAAGTTCATGTTTTCAGTGCTTTGGCAGGACTGAAGCCTTGGCAGATTCAAGTACCAACCCCACTTTAGCCAAGTTCTTGTATTATCAGGTTTCTTGATTACAGGAGTGCTTTCCTTTTAAGCTTTTCCAGAATCCTGAATTATTATACCTAATTATTATAGATATGTTTTGTATTGTTTTGTATTATTTTGATATTATGTAAGCTGCCTTGTATGTAGTTTCTAACAAGGGTAATACATGGGGTAAGGGTGGGGAGAGAGAGAAAGTGAAAAAAGTTTCTAGATCTACATTCCAAAGACTGGTTTGCAATGGTTTCCTAAAATGAGAAAGAGACTTTGTTTTAGGGAAAACTTCTTTTCTAGAAGGGTAAAACTTCTCATCATGAGAAATGGGACTACATGGAAAATGTCAACCTTGTCTTGAGTTTCAAGAATCCATGCATCTTGAAACCGGGGACACAGTATAAGGGCTGTAAATGTGAGAACCACAATGTACAAGATAAGCTTTAATGCATGGCCATCTTGCCAATACAAACTTAACATGGGCCTCCTATTCTTGAAACATGCAGCTCTTCTGCAAGCATTATACAAACTGATTATACATTATTTGCATTCAGAATCAGTGGAGACAAAAGAATTCTCTATACCCTGTCACAGCAATCTCCAAGTATAGAGGATAAGCATTTGTAATGGACAACTCCCAGAATCCTTAATCACATACAGAGGCTCTAAAGATGGAAGGTCTTCAGTAATCAACTGCCCTTTACCTGTGGAAGGCAATGCAAGAGATGCTTATCTAAATGTTCCTACATGTGAGCAGAGGATTGGGAAGGTGACCTTTGGAGTAATTCTTTACTGAAATCATCTGTCTATTGCATTCTGATTTAAAGCAACTGTAAAACCTTTTATTTATTTTTCACTGTAACATTCTTATTACAATTATACAGCTCTCTTTTACTCTCCATTCTCTTTATAATACTACTTTAGGACCTTAAATCATGAGATTATCCCAGTTAAGGCATGTTTAGTTTAATTTAAATGGGCAAATCTTAGCAAGCTATGCTGATATCAGTTTGCAGAGAAATCTCAGAATGCTGGACTTGCAAATTTCATTGATACCTGCAAATATTTTTAATAAGCAAATATGTAAGAATTAAGAACAATCAGTATATGTAAGAATTAAAAACAATCAGTATTTCTTGGTTTCTAAACTCAGCATAGACATTGTGACTTTACAAATTAGCCAAGATCTGAATTTAAGATCCAAATTCAGCAAAATTTTATTGAAATTTGAATTCTGAAGGCAACAAGATTTGAATCAAACTGATTTGAAATTTTCTTTGATAAATGAAACCATAATTTATGGTTGCCTACAGCTGCTTCATTTTGTGGTCAAATGGGATGAAATTAGACTGAAAATAGCAGGACTGAGAGATCCTTTAGAGGATATTAACTGTGCTCCAAAATTTCAGCTGAATACTTCAAAGGTTATACTGTAACAATTTCTTGAAATATCTCTTTCACCTCTTTTAAAGCACAAATAGCAGAGATGAAAAAAATATGGCATAGCAGCCCACAAATCGTTCAGCAAAGAGCTTTTAGAAAAGTTGTGCTGAAACAATGCAAAAAATATCCTACTATAACGTAAACTGTTTAAAAAGCAAGGGTTTATAAATATCAAAGAACAATTGCCAAGTTTGTTGGCATGGCTTATAGGCAAGACTCTTCTCTTCTGCTGATAACTTGCTATGCATGCTTGGTTTTTTTTTCTTTTCTGTACTTTCCTTCCTTCCTTCCCCTCCCCTCTTTAAAGTAGTTTGAGAACTCTGTGTGCTTTCAAAATTGTGAATATAATGAACTATAACATAGTCCTTCTAACATATGCCATAATGTGCTGGCTTTTATAATATTTTAGACCACTCATGAAATTATTCATTCCAAGATTAGACAAACAAAATGCAGAAAAGAAAAATAGGGATTTGTTTTGCATTTTTAATTACATCAGAGGGGATAGGGAGAATGAAATGTCAGTGAAAGGGAGACTGAAATATCTGAGGAACGGCAGACACAGAGAATATAGAAATTAATAAAGCCGTGCATCTTTCAAAAAGAATTTGGAAGAGATCATTCCAAATGCATGGAAGCAGGACATCTTTAAAGCAGCTATGCCTTAGGCATATTTTAAAGAGGTGCTGTAGTTGTAATCATGTGTAACAAAACATCTTTCCCAAAATATTTTTGAAGCATGTCCAACCTTTAGACTACAAAGAGCTATATCACAGGTCAGACATATACACTGAGATTAAGTAAGGATAAAGCTAAAAACATGTGGTTTAAGGAGAGACTATCACAGAAGAAAAAGCAAACCAGCAAAAAGGAACTGCAAATAAATCTGAATCGTGGAACCCGCGTAAACAAACCCTAACAGAAATATGGGACAAACAGCAAAGTATTACTCCCTTAAGTGCTGAGGTAGCAGAAACTGAGGTGATTCAACTCATCTGTTGATTATTTATGTCAATATCAGAGTGACCACTGTCTCAGCTTTGTCCATATATGGTAGGAAAGTGGTTTGACAGCTGCAAAGCCGGAAAATCCACCAAATCTCTGAATTGCAATTGAATCCCCCCAAAGCAATTTGAAGGCCTTGATTCAGCTTGATCCTAAAAATTAACTGAAATATTTCATTGATTTAATCACTGTTGAACCAGATCGCCATTTCAGATCTTTACACTGACCTAAGAGATAACTGATCCAAGTCTTTACCTCTTCATTTGTGCCTGGGGTAATCGTTTGTATGTAAAAATATTTAATTATGTTAAAATATGTCTATATGTTAATATAGAAAGGTATATGGAATGGGGCTCTGAATGTCATATAACTCTGCTCTTGAACATCACTAATGATCAAACATTAAGTGGGTGAAGTAATCACATACTAAGCTCAAATCTTCTAACGAACCTGTACCTTATGTAAAACAATAGCCACTTGTCATCCTTTCCATCTAATGTGGAAGTCACAAAGCCTCTTCAGCCTTTCTCTAACCATCTAGCCTTAACAATTTTCTCTCACATGCTACAGGTTTAATAACTGTGCTGTGGCTACCATAACTGGGCTGAAAATCCAGACAACCACTAGAAGGCAGCAAAAAGGGATAGTGGTAGAGTTGATTATGAAAACGATGAAACAAATTGTGTATG